CATAAGCAATATCTGGCCGAGTGAGAGATAAGTATATCAGCTTCCCTACCAGTTTTTGGTATCTCTCTCTATCACAGTAGTCCTCCCCTACTGATTCCTGTAGGCCATGATTCTGTTCTATTGGAGTATCTGCTGGCCTACACCCTATCATGCCTGCTTCCTCTAGGAGGTCAAGAACATACTTCCGTTGACATATGTAGATTCTTTCTCTTGACCTAGCAACTTCAATCCCAAGAAAATATCTCAAATGGCCCAAGTCTTTGATCTCAAATTCCGAAGCTAAAAACTCCTTAAGTCTTTTTATCTCTTCCAAGTCATTCCCGGTAATCACCATATCATCCACATAAACAATGAGTGCHGTAAGTTTGCTATCCTGTCTCCTTATGAACAAGGTATGRTCTGCACYRCTCTGAGTGTACYCCACTTTCTTCATRGCCCCACAAAGCCTCTCAAACCATGCACGAGGAGACTGCTTCAAACCATATAATGCTTTCCTCAGTTTACAAACCTTTCTACCAAAGTCATAGCCTGGTGGAGGTTCCATAAATACCACTTCATGAAGGTCACCATTTAGGAAGCCTGGTGGAGGTTCCAGCTGGTTTTTATAGTTATGTGGCCAAAAGAAAGGTATGTAGATTTAATATGTCTTTATATGGTTTGAGGCAATCACCTAGAGCTTAGTTTGATAGGTTTAGGAGTGCATTGACTATATTTAACTATACACAAAATCAATGTGGCCGTACTTTGTTTGAAGAGAAGGGGATCATTAGTGTTGGTGTTGATAGTGTATGTGGATGATATTGTAGTCATAGGAAATGACCTGAGTGAGATTGATACCTTGAAAACGAACCTACACCAGGAGTTTGAGATTAAGGATCTTGGGGAGCTGAAGTATTTTTTGAGCATTGAGGTGGTAAGGTTGAAGCATGAGATCTTCATTTCACAGAGGAAGTATGTTTTGGACCTACTATAAGAGACAAGAAAACTTGGGGCAATGCTAGCTGATACACCTATTGATCAAAACCACAAAATGAATTCTTCAGATGGTGAGCTAGTGAAGGATGTTGGAAGGTATCAAAAGATTGGTGGGCTGATTGCTATACCTATGCATGACACGACTGGATATCTCTTATACAGTTAGTGTGGTAAGTCAGTATATGCATGCCCCATGAGTTCAGCACTAGGAGGCTATTGACAGGATACTTGCGTATCTGAAGGGACACCCAGGTAGAGGCATACTATTTGCTGACCATGGACATTTGATGTTAGAATCTTACATAGATGCTGATTGGGCTGGGTGCCTAGATGATAGGAGATCTACATTAGGAATTTGCACTCTTGTTGGAGGTAATCTGATTTCATGGAAGAGTAAAAACAAGTATTTATAGCAAAGGCAAGTGCTGCAATGTTATGGAACATAGTGTTTCGAGGCTCCTCTGGGTTCGGTCAATGTTAGAGAGATTGAAATTGAGGCAAAAGAACCTATGATACTAAATTGTGATAATTATGCAGCATTTAAGATTGCCCATAATCTAGTTCAGTATGATAGGACGGAGCATATAGAATAATAGAAGTGGATAGACATGTTATAAGGGAAAGGGCGACATCCGGAGAAGTGTGCCTACCATATGTTGCATCTGACTTACAACTAGCCGATGTTCCCACAAAAGGTGTTGCAAGAAACATGCTTGAGTATATAAGATAATGATAGGGGTGGCCAGATCTATTTTTTGGCATTCTCCCATTCTTTTCAATTTCTCTCTTCTTCTCTCTCTTTTTTTTTGATCAATAACATCAATTTCATTAAATTAAGAGAATAGAGGGAAAGGAATACAAAGGGAGATAAAATAACTTAGCTCCCCAAAAATCAGAAAACTGAGGGAAAGCAAAGAAAATTAAAAACTAGCCCAGAAAACAGCCTCCCTATTCACTCCTTGCTTGGCCAACCAGGTTTCAAATCAGATTGCAGCTTTACACTTTCTACTCATGTAAGTGGTGCATTTTGGTTAGGTGCCTGGTGTAGTCACTATTTCCAAACTGAAGCTCTAACATATCAAATTTTGCAAGCATTGAACTTGTTACACTATTTTATGATTGTTTATCTGTAGGTCATCTCTTTATTCCTGAGTGGTTATGATAATTATCGTATTTTTTTCTTGGAGAACCATTTTTCCTGTTAAAAATTCTCTAATTTAACCATAGTGTTGTATTATTTACAGTGCTCGGTGGATAGGGAATCATGGGTTCTCAATTGGCATTGATGATGTCCAACCAGGAGAACTTCTCAAAGATAAGAAAAAAGAAACAATTGAGGATGGCTATAAAGCTTGTGATGAGTTAATACATTCTTACAACAAAGGCAATCTTGAACTTGAACCTGGCTGTGATGCTGCTCAAACATTGGAAGCACAAATAACTCGCAAATTGAATGAAATTCGAGAAGAAACTGCAGCGGTAGGGGGTTCATTATTGATTGTGTTTTCTTAATATTTAATCAATCAGCAATTATTACTAATATTTTTTTTTTTTTGTTGTAAATCTTGCTCAGTTTGAATACAGTTGTAATGATGATTGAACTTCTGTTCTGCCTCCCTCCCTCCTCTTTTTGCCTTTTTTTAACTTTGCAAGTGAGTAAGCATGAAAATGTTTGTCATGGGAGATTAATGGAACAATTTGCTAAAAAATGACCTATGATTTGATGCTACTAAATGCCTTTATAAAAGGGCAGAAATCTTTCTTTCTAGATATTGGCTTGTGCTGGTAAGTTATATTTCAAATGATTTATGGCATTATATTCCCTGGGTCACCTTGTAAATGGTAGGTTGTAATGTATTTATTGCTTCATAGTCTGCCACCGCCTATGACATTCTCTAGAACCTTTTGGTTGGTTGGAAGAAATGTAAATAGATTGAGCATTGGCTTCTGAATTTATCTAATTTATAGAGTTGATTTAAACAACTTTTTGATGGTTTTAGTAAACATATGTTTTTGAAATATGCTGAAACCCTGGTATTTATGCAAGTTTAGTCCTACAAATGCCAATGGTTAAACTAAATAAGAGAGGCTAGATCATTGGCATTCAGGATGAACGGTTCATTTTGATGGGTCTCTGGATCAGCAGAACTGGAGCACTTCTAGATAGCTTAGATAGTGAGGTTGTAGATCTGGGAATTTGATGCAGAGGCATGGTCCTTAGGATAGGCATGACTTCAGGTTGGAAAGCAGGTTCTGGTGGGGGAGGACAGAGTCGATGCTCCTGGATTGAAGGTTATGAGGAATCCGGGGTGTGGGAGCTGAAGTTGAAGAATGTGGGCCTGATGATTTCAGGATCAACAATGTTTATATGATAATAAATCTATTACCCTAGAGCAGTTGGTGGAATGTGAGATCCAAGTAGAAACTAGAAAAGCATTCGGCGTTTTCTTTTTGAGTGTGGAGGAGTTTGCCAGGGTGATATTTTCAGTGTCTGGAAGATAGGGATGGAGAGATGTATAGTATCCAGAGGGAATTCGAGAGTTCCAGAGGGGAAGTTCTATCAGTGACTAGAGAAAGAGAGAGGAAGAAAAATCTCTGCAATCTCACTAGTAGTTCGAAAGTGGAATTTGAGAGTTCCAAAGGGGAAGTTCTATCAGTGACCAGAGAATAAATCTCTGCAATCCAAATGAGCTTGCAGGTTGACAAGGAGAATGGGGGAAAAGGGAGGGTGGCAGGAGCAGAAAGCAAGCCGCTTAGGTTTTGGTTTTGTATTTTTGTGTTTTTGGGATGTTGGTTATATGTTTTGGTTTTAGGTAGGGTCCTTAATGGGGCCCTTTCTTTTTGCCTGATTTATTATTTTTCCCATTTGTAAATGTTAAAACTTTACCATAAAGAAAAGAGGGGAAAAACATGTTCATGTTGTGGATCTAGGGAAAGACTGCTTCCATTTGTTTGTTGAGTGCTGGGTTGCCAGTTCCTTTTTTCCTTTTTCATGGTTGATTGCAACTCACCTATGTCCCTTTCAGATGATACAGCAATGGCCTAGAATAGAAGGATAACTTAATGGAAGGTAACCCCCTTTGTTAGTGTTTTGGTCTTGTGGAAGAAAAGGAGTGGGGTGATCTTTGAGGCTGAAGCAGAACGAATCTACAGGGTATATCTACATCTACATACATTTTACACTGGGAAATATTGATGAAAATGCAAAGATAGGAAGAGACATGTAAGGGTGGATTCCACATGCAACATGTAAAATAACCAAAATACCCCTACTATTTTGGTAATAAAAAGGTACACCCAAAGATTACTAAAGAGTAGTAGGTCTCCTCTACATAATTTTATCAACTGAATGGACATCAGTGTCTTGGATAATAAGGAAAAGAAAAGAAAGAAAAATCTTTCACTAATCAAAGTTTGTTACTTTATACAGATGGCATTAATTGGGTAATGGTCTTTGTGTAAAACATGGGAGTGAAGAGATTACTACCATTTTAGTTGATTCCACATCTCTCCACTGATATTCAAGTGATGATCAGTCCTATCATCTCCAGTGACCACGACAATCTTCCATATGACAAGAGAGATCATGTGGGAAATAACTCTAACTGGCCCCTTTATCTTTTGCCTCTGCGTGTTAAATCTAATTTATACTCCAATTTTTTTTAGTTATTTTGATAAGAAGTTAGTTATACACACTTTGCTCCTCTACAATAATGGCTATCCTTTTTTTAATTAATTTCCTCCTTAAGAACGAATCAGTTATTAACAAATCTACTTTATTAGTAATTGGGGTGCATTGCACTCTGGCACAATATTACTTTGCTTTATTTTTCTTTGCTTATCAGGTTTGCATGCAAGAGCTTCATTGGAGGAATAGCCCTTTGATTATGTCACAGTGTGGATCGAAAGGTTCTCCTATCAATATTAGTCAGATGATTGCATGTGTCGGTCAGCAGTCAGTTGGGGGTCGCCGTGCTCCTAATGGATTTATAGATCGAAGTCTTCCTCACTTCCCTAGAAAATCAAAAACACCTGCTGTAAGTTAAATTTGTGTTGTATATTTCTTTCTATTTCAAATTTCACTCATGCTTGTGAAGTACATACTCACGTGCACCTTTTCATGATACTTCGATTTAGTCATAGCCTAGGAATCTCAGAAGATAAAAGATATGTTATATTACCAGTTCTTATCTTTTTGATTGGTAGAATGAAAACTCTATTAAACTAGAAAAAATGTTGACGTGTGGTATGGAAGTTGCCCACCTACAAATCATCATCAAAATCATCTAAGCCTTGTCCCAACTTTATAGGATCAGCTACATGAATGCTGTTCTGTATTCTATCCTGTTTAGTTGACATATGCAATGTTAAACACCATCCACTTGAAAAAGTGGTCCACCTACAGACCACCTAAAATAGAAAGATTTTCATCAGGTAGAAAATTACAATGTAAACCCATCTCCCGACAAATAATAAAACAAAGAAGTATCAAGTGCCTCAATGCCTCTTAATCTCCTCTAAATGGCTGTTGAAGTCAATTATTCTAGTGTCATTGAATTATTTCAATATTATCAATTAGTCTAAAATGAACAAGTATCCTTTTTTGCATATTCAGTGAACAAGTGGTCTTGATTTGGCCCAAATGCCCCTCATGTCATACCACCTGCCCAGGCCTGTATTGCTCGGTCTGGCCTGGCCCATGTATATATAGTTTTGAATATATACTTAGACTTAAAAATTTTTATCTTTTAAAAAAAAATAGTTTTTTTTTTATATTACTTTTGCAGATAAGCCCTGATGCTTGGCTTGGACCCAGACATATATTATCAAGCCCTGGGTGCAGGCGAGGTCAGGCCTGAGAAACTCTAAGTGCTCTTCCTAAAATTCCAATAACCATGATTCCTTGGGGTTCCCCATGCTACACTCATTTAGAGTTTAACTTGATAAAATTAGGAGGCTGGGGGGGGGAGGGACCATTCCACATGAATAATGTTTCTCACCGTGGTTGAGGCCATGGTATTTTATCATATTTCTAATAATATTATTTTTTTGAGCATATTGAAAAGCAATCTGAAGTTTTTATCCAATTACCATTTTAATTGTTATGCTTTCAATTACCGCATCGAAGGTTTGGCTCTTTCTTTAAAAATCTTTGCATTTGTTCCATCTCATAGTAATGAAAACCATTTCTATCCACCTGCATTCAAAGAGAAAGAAGAATTAGCAAAACAAAAAATCCCCATACACTACGTAGGATCCAGCAACAAGTATTAATAAGGAAATAAAAAAGAGAAAATAGTAGAGGAAGCAAGAATATTTGGCTCCATTTATAGGAACAATAAAACACACAAATAAATTCCTACTAGACTTGAACTCCTACTTGTATGCAGACTTCAACAATTAGACTCTAACTAGGACAAAAGTTTATTATAAATAGTCAACTAATCTAAGCCAAGAGCTTGTGGTTTGAGGAGTTCAGAACCAAAAGTAAGATTATTGTGAAGATTAGGGAGAATGGTTTGGCAATGGTGCTACTTGCAAATCACACCAGCACTAATTCTGAAAATTAGGACAAAGAAGAGAAGAGAATGGAAGAAAGGGGAAAAGGAAGAGAGCTAATCAATCCTCTCTCTGCCCCTCTATTTGATTAAATATGTGCTGAATAAGTATCAAGGCCCTAGTTGGGCGTCTGTCTCAAAGAACATAAAAAAGAATAAGTATCAAGGCCCATAAAGAAGGCCCACTACAAATCTATGTTAGGGTCTTAAGAATGCAGGGTGTTTTACATCACATTAGCTATTTGAAGTAATACATTTCATTTCAATACTGTTGGATAACTGCCCAACTTAGATCCTCTTCGAGGGAGGATAACCTCCAGAAAGGGGAAAGTGAGAGTGAAAAGAGAAAGAGATCAAATCTTCTTATTATTCCTTTATTGTAAGTACACCTCTGTATTTTTATTCAATCATGCCTTTAATGTAACTGATTTACAACAGAATTATAACAGCTTGCGAACTTGTTTGATTCGGTTAACTCCAGCTGTCTTTGTACTGTCTTCCTTATGCTGAGGTGGCCTTCTTCTCCTTCTAGAATATACTTGTAGTTCCTGCCCCCTTGTGCCTCTAACAAATACACTTTATATGTTATGTTTATGTATTTTAATTTTACATAATGGGTTTTATAAGATTTTTATTTTAATTTAAAGTTTATATTTTTATTTATATTATAATTAGTGTATCTTTTTAATTTTTTGCATTTTTTGAAAATTTGGGCATTGTTTTTGCATTTTTTGAAAATTTGCACCTTGTGCCTCAAAATATTCATTAACATTGTTTGATTGGATTATTTTTATCCGGGTATCAAATTAGGTGAGTATAATATATTCATGTAACTTTTGCACAAGTTTAGGTACCTCAACACGAGAGTGCTTAAGATAGATCAGGTATACCATGAAAAGTCATCAATAAACAGAATGCAATATTTATAGCCATCCATACAAGGCAAATGGTAGGGCCTCCACACATCAGAGTGAACAATATTAAAAGGAATAGTAGATCTTTTTTTACTTGTAGGATAAGAATTCTTACAATGCTTTGAGAACTCGCAAGACTCACAATGTAGACCCGACATATTTATTCCTTTAAATAATGTTCGAAATAATAGATTCAATGAAGAAAAAGACAAATGACCCAAACGATAATGATATAACATAATGTAACTAGTTGAGTCTGAAACAAAGGTTGTTCTTTGAGGCTGTATTTGCCTCTACTTAGACATGTCTAACAGGTATATCCCATTCGCCTCATGCCCACTCTCGGTCACCTTTCGAGATTTCATGTCCTGAAAAATACAATTAGAAGGGAAAAAGGTTACACTACACTATTAAGCTTAGGTACACCTTTTGAGATTTCATGTCTCCCTTGTCTATGGTAGGGGCAAGAGAGTCATTTGCAAGGGATATTTTGTCTCGACTAAATAGAAGTTGGTAGGTAGTGAATAAATGTAAACCATTGGTCATATGTTGAAAAGCACTGGAGTCTATTATCCAAGGGATATTTTAATTACCTGAAATAGTAGCATGATTTGTAGTGTCATAAATACCTGTATGCGGATAAGCAGAAGAGGAACTGGTCTCTGAAGGAGTAGTTGTTATAGCTGTAGATCCAAGTAAGTGATTGTTCGACCATATTCAGCCTTGGTGGCTGCAAGATGTTCCCCCACACAACAGTCTCCAGCAAGTCAATCTCCTGCCAAAGAGATTTTAGCGTGGAGTTAAACAATTAATTTCTTCTCCCCTTGTCTTAGATTGTTTACATCATTCTTTAGTTTGTAGGCTCTAGCAACATTCAATTTTGGGAATAGGTCTCCATGACACTATCCTACACCTCGTTCACACTATCCATCCACAGGTGGTGTTGTCTAATATGAGGTTGCATGGAATTTACTAACCAGCCTACTATTGTGTAATTTTCCTACACCCACTTCTCATAGGTAGGGTCATCTTCGTAGGTTTCTTCTTGCTCCTAGTGATGTACTCTCATTTCCCTCTACTGCATACTTGAATCTTTATAGACTGAGACCATGGCAAATAATTTGTTCCATCCAACTTACTGTGGTTACTAGCAGTGTTTTCCTAGACCCTCCATGGCCATACCCAAAGCATGTGGGGTATTTTTTCTCACCTCCAATTTGCTTCATTGACTGGACGAAAGCCAATGAAAATCAAAATAGGACACTACTAATCAAGAATCACCGACTTGAAGCTAAAATTGCTCCTCAACCACCCAAAACTAGGGTTTTATAGGACCAGCAACCTGTGGGAAGGAGAGAAAGTCCTGCCATCCTACCAGGGATTCCAAAACCCTTTCCAATTTGGATCGATCTCAAAGAGGATAAAAAAACTTCCCTTCAAGTCCCAAGCTGGGATGTATAAGCTACTAATCAATCATCCAATCAGTTCTCCATACACATTATGTATGGGCCTAAAAGAAGAAATTGAAGAAGATGGGAACCTGCTCTAATACTAAGTTTCAAATCACACCAGCACTATTTCTGAAAATTAGAATAAAAAAGAAAGAAAAGAAGAAAGAGGAATTCCGAAAAAGATTAGAAGGAAGAGAAGAGAATGGAAGAAAAGGGAGGAGGAAGAGAGGTACTCGATCCTCTCTCTGTCTCTCTCTGTTCATCTCTGTCCCTCTAAGAGAGCAGTGGAGTAGAAAAGGCTGGGTTGGGTTAATGAGTCAAGTTGGGCTGTGGAACTGGATCAAGACATTGTGTGTGATACTCTTAGTGCACATATGGGAGATAAGTCATTTGGTTCGATTGGGCCATTTATGATGAAGCCCAAAGATGATGGTAAGGGAGGGGCAATGATAGACATTACTTTTGGTCCATCATTTTCTTCTTCGATCAGAGCTTGATGGGTGGAAGTGGGACTTAATTCCGAAAAGAATTTCATAGCTGGTCTTCAAGGAGTGGAGGAGGATGAGAACAAAAGGGAAGTAGTTGAAGGGTTTGATGAGTCACTGGTTTGGTAAAGAAAACAAGGAAGGATCTGGTTTGGTCCTTGTAGACGAAAGGGAGGAAGATACGGAAAAATTAGAAGCAATGTTTTAAAATGTGGAGGCATGAAACAAGGTGTTCCACTACCTATAGGCAGTGTTGTTCAGAGTGTAAGAGGCATAAGCCTCCCGAACGCAATGAGGCATAAGCCTCCTTTAGAGGAGGGGAATGGGGAGAAAGGAGGAGGTGACAGAGGAGGAGGGGTGATCTCTTTTTTCTCTATTTTTAATAGAAATCTTTTTTACTTTTTCTTTCCCCTGCTCTTTTATTCCCTTCTCTTCTTTTTTCTCTTTCTTTCTTTGTCTTTCCCTTCCCTTTCTTTTCCATTCCTTTCTGATAAAGTTCAGACCTTCACTAGAATTCTGTTAGAATTAGAGGAAGATTAGAGGAGATAGAAGAGAGAAGAAGAGAAGAGAAGAAATGAAAGGAGGAGAAAACTGGTTCGAACAAGAGAGAAAATTCACTCTCTCTAGTC